GGCTCCCAGTATGTGAGAGGGGGCAGGCTGGGCTGAGGGACACTCCCCCCCCCCCCCACACACACCCAGTGCACGAATTTCATGCACCGGGCCCCTAGTAAGATTAATAAACTTCCAAAGATACTAAGAGAAATGTTTAAGAAGCAATAGTTAAATTTGCATATTGATAAGTAACATTCAATAGAAAATATACTCTTACAAAAAAGTGTATATTTTAAAATTATGTCCTAATAATCTGGAGTCTTCTTTCTTATGTTGTATGAATTAGCCAAAGGACTATAAAGCTGAAGACAGGTATTGTGAAATTATTTTTTAAAAAATTATTTATGATAGTTCTTTTATATTTTGAATAAATGGCTCCTAAAGTTTAAAACTAAAATATTTGTTTTAAAAGATTCTGTCAGAATTCAATTTGTTTATTTTATATTTTAAATAGAAATAAAATGTATTATAAATGAATATTTCATGATTTCATGTTGACAACAGCGATGTGTTTAATAGATGAGGTATTTTTCACCTGCTCAGTATTGTTCAATAAAGATTTGAAATGCGTATTATTTTCTCTTTAAATTCTTAAAGTATATATTATGTGATTTCCCAGAAAGCTTTTTTTAGAGTTAGTTGTAATTCTAAATTATCCTCAAAAATAAAGAGGAATTTCTTCTCTTTTAAATCAGACATATAGTAATATTTTTATTTGTGATCCTATACTTGTAAAATATAAACCTGAAAATTCTTTTTTTTAGAGTGGCATTTTTTTAAATCATTGTTTTCTTATTTTTCAATTGCAGTTGACATATAATATTATATTAGTATGAGGTATACAACCAGTAATTAGACATTATATAACTTAGTGATCACCTTGATAAATCTAGTACTCATCTGACAACATACATAGTCATTACAATATTTTGACTTTACTGACTATTCTGTAATTACCAGTTTATACTATTCAATCACTTCACCTTTTTATCCACTTCTCCAAACCCTCCCCCTCCCATCTGGTAACTATCAAAATGTTCTCTGTATCTATGAGTCTGTTTCTGTTCTGCTTGTTCATTTGTTTAGTTTTTTTAAAATTCTATATATAAGCAAAATCATATGGCATTCATCTTCATTTGACTTATTTCACTCAGCACAGTGGCAAGATTTCATTCTTTTATATGGCTGAGTGATATCCCACTTCTTTAGTTATTCATCTATTGATGGACACTTAGTTTGCTTACACATCTTGGCTATTGTAAATAATGCTGTAATGAACACAGGGATGTATATGTCTTCTTCATAGTGTTTTGGGTTTCTTCGGATAAATATCCAGACATGGAATTACTGGGTCTTTCTTTGTGTTTTTTTTTGTTGTTGTTATATAGCCTATGTTTTAAAATCTATTTTGCCTAATATAATTATTGCTACCCCAGATTTTTTGTTTGTTTCCATTTTTATAAAATATTTTTTCTATACCTTTACTTTCAGTCTGTCTGCATCATAAGGATCTTATTTTGTTATTTATTCAGCATTCATATGTCTTTTATTGGAGCAATTAAACTATTTGCATTTAAAGTAATTGTTGATAGATATGTATTTATTGCCATTTTAGTCTTTATATTTTATCTTTTTTCTTCTTTAAGATTTTCTTGTAATATGGGTTTGGTGGTGGGGAACTCCTTTAGCTTTTTCTTGTCTGGGAAACTAATTATATATC